TTAAGATTATATACACTTATATAACCCCATGAAGTTACAGACATTCTGCAAACAAAACCAAACATACCAAAAAAAAACAAGTTAGGAACTATATAATAGAATAATTTTGAACATAATTTCAACAGATTTGTGGTCCTTTGTGAGCACCAAAATGGAATCAAATTGCCTTAGGTTAAGAATTTCTATTTTAGGACTTTTGCAAATCTGGCTGTTAAAAATTCCTTTTAAGTGCTCATCAAAATTAACTTTATATTTTCATTACTCTTCATTTATAGAAATTTATGAGGAATATTTAGAATCTTCACATAATAACAACTATTTTTTTTCTTGAGGACTTATTAAGTACAAGGTACTCATTAAGTGGTCTAGGGCTATGCCCAGATTAATGTATCCAATTCTCATAAAATCCATAAGGCACTGATGTGATTATTATGTACATTTTATAAAAAGAAATTATAAAACATAGACTAATAACTATTGACCTCCTTGAAATATGACTAGTGTGAACAAAGAACTGAATTTTCAATTTAGTTTTAATTAAAATACAAAAGAAATATAAAATGTTTTTCAATTAAACACAATTTTATTGTTTTGGTGTGAATATATTTCACCTTAACCACTGAAAATTTAGCATCCAAATTGAGAAGTGCTATAACAATAAAATATGCACGAAATTTTGAAAACTTAGTATGAAGATATGAATGTAAAATACTTCAATTTATTTGTTATTATATGTTGAAATAATATTTTAGAGATATTGGTTCAAATAAGATGCATTATCAAAATTAATTTCAACTATTTCTTCCTACTTTTTAAAATGTGTTCAACAGAAATTGTAAAATTATCTAAGTGGCTTTCATTATATTTCCATTAGTATCGCTTTAGACTCAAATACCACTATACCACACTGCCTATCACAGTCTACACCAATATGTGGTCTGAAACAGTCTACTGCCAAATCTCAAACAAGACTTGGTTGTCACCACTCAAAACTCCCCATGGATTCTCTGGAAAAACTCCCTGCCCTTGTACACACATACCTCTCTTCACGAAACTCCAATCATATACCCACTCTTAAATGTCAAAGTCAACTTTGTCACTTACTGAGTGAAATCAAACCACTTCCTATCTTGCCTTGCTTGGAAACCAAAGGTATCTGCTATGTTATTCTACCTAACCTTAACAAAGCATATTCTAAAACAAGCCCTTAATTTATCCTCCATGAGTTGTATTTCTGTGCTATCCTTTGGAAAGAAGAGCATGTGCAGTAATTGAATGATTTACCCAATGGGTATGGGAATATTAACTGGAAGGGAAAAGGGTATTTGGAAAGGCACTGGAAGAGAAGGGGACCCATCTCTATGGCCCTGTTATTAATTGGGAAGGGAAGTCCTATGAACCAGGAAAATTGATAAGTCACAATTAGGTAGGGAAATTTAAAAGAAGGAAAGCAAATATTCTATGCTCTGTAAAACAAAAATGTATGAAAACAAAAAGCAAACACGAACTGACCTTGTATGGGCCATTAAGTTAGTAGCAATGCTCTCCACTTCAGAACTTGCAGAGCTACAGGACCAAGAAGAAGGGACTTGTGAGACTCAGGACTGGCTAAGAGTCGTGGTGAACACACTGTCCACCATCAGACATGACCCATCATCCACCACAAATACAAGCGGATGGAAGTAAGAGTGAAACTAGAATGCTGACTTTTACCAGTATCAGAGAAAAAGGTAAGCATCACCTATGCCCAGACCTGGAATCTAAGTTCACAGCAGTTTCTACAGGACACAGCTCAGGGAATGCTGTGGTTGTGAAATGTGTAAATGGCCTCCATAATGCATCCAAGGGAGTTTAACCCACGAAGGGATTCTACACCTGTGCCCTCCCCCTCATGTCTTCCCAGAAGCCTGTCTTGAAGGCAAGTGCAGGCCTAAATGCTAATCCAAGGATTCAGTATGTACTTTTCTATTGGGAACTTTCATTATAGGAGTGAAATTCATGACTTTCACTCTGATGGCCATCCCTCTACAGCTAGACCCAACTGGCTACATGGTGTGAGGACAGAAGAGAATCCAGGGAAACACATTCCAAGAAACGATGGAACCTACAATTGGACCTGGATGGGCAACACTCACTTCACCAATGCCCTCTCTGTGTAAAGTACGAGGCTGGGTACTGGGGACATGGTGTTAATAGCTTATACACACACACGTACAAAAAAATTTTACACACTCCTAGGTGAAAAAAACAAAACTCCAAACTTCAACAAGCTCATTGAAAACAAAATTTAAAAACTCCACTTCGTGCACACTTATAGTCAGTCACAACAGAGATATTACAGGATCACTCGGTCACAGTTTCAGACACCCTCGTCGCCACGTCCATGTTAACCATGATCACACAGTAGGCTCCGCCCCCGCTGACAGTCTCACCAACCCAATCAGGTACCAGTAACGCCAACCCAGGGCCCCGTCACACGCACTCTAGCCCTCGCTCTCACGCACGCACAGGCGTGAACTAACACTCAACAAGGACGCCGTCACAAACAGTAGCACCCGCAACCATGGTCGTCCGCGGCTCACGCATACACAAGCTCCTGGCTCCACAAGCCCCATCCACGCTCTGCGAGCTTCAGGCCTCCTCACCGCCAGCCCCTCCCGCAGCTTAACCTGCGTCACCTCAACTCACCAGGTATAACCCAATAATGACCACGACACCGGAAGGTGAACCAAAGGTCGAAGGTCATTGGCGGCTCTGGGGCCTGTGGGAAACGTAGTCCAACACCGAAAAAGTCCAGACTTTCGAGCGGAGCGTGGAGCCCATCAGCTGCAGAGACACTCCCCTCCCCGCCCCGAGACTACCGGGAATTCCAGGGCGCAATGATCGCACGACTTTGGTGGAGGGGTTGCAGCTGGTTGTCCTTCCAGATGCCGAAGAGCCGGGTGATGGTTCTCTGAGAGCGAGGTGAGGTCACGGAAGGAAGGAGCGCCCAAGCCGAGGAAGTAATCGCAAACCTGGGCCGGGGAGGGCAAAAAAGGGAACTGGAAGCCGGGTGCGGGCCGAGGAGGCAAACGGAAAAATCCTGGCTCGGGTAGGGCTGGCTGAGAATTGGAAGCTCCGGGCCTAGGAGGGAAGAGGGAGTTGGGAACCCAGCAGAGGAGGGCCGGGGCGGGAATCGTGAATCTCTGCCGAGGGAGGCCGGGCTAAGAAGGGCTGAAGCCGTGCGGAGGGACTTCGGGCAGGAGAGAGCCCAGGCGAGAAGTTCACTCAGGCCTGTACGTGCGGGACCCCAGGTCCGTGATCGTGAACCAGAGGGTCAAGGGTTTTGTTGTTTTTGTCAGTTTTGGCCCTTGAGAAAACCCCAAAACCCATGGCACATGGCAGACGCGCAGTGAGTGTATGCACGCCCTTGGCGTGTTTAATATCGTCACTGCCAGGAAGTTCGCTGGTGTCTTTTTCCTTTAGTTTCATAGCGGAGACAGCCATAGTTCTGATACATGTCATCGTAGTTTAGCTTTGTCAGTTCTACAATTCCAATTGTCTCCTTTAGCTCATCCTAGTATTGTAAGATTTATTAATGTTGTTTAGTTCATTCCTTTTGTTTCTGGACAGCATTCCATTGTGCAAATGTGCCACAATTTGTGTTTTCATTTTTCTCTGTATGAACATTTAGTTTATTTCCAGGTTTTATGTATTTTTATAACGCTGGCATGTTTCCATTTCTCCTGGGGAGATACCTAGTGGAAGAAAATGCTGATAATAAGTTAAGTTTCTATTTAACTTTCTAAGAAGCTGACAAACCTTGTAGGATGATTAGTTACGATTTCTGTTTGAGACTGTATGTGACTGTGAAGTAAGTGGTTTCTGAGTTTGATTTGGTATTCTTCTATGGAATTAGGAGATGGGCTCAGTGGAGTTAGGAATATCACATATAGTCCATGGAATTGTGGTTTTGTGAAGTGGGTGAGATTATAGGAAACAAGGTGTCTGTACCAACTCTTATCATGATTTTGTGTGTTCATTATAATGTGACTGTGAAAGTGGATCACTACATAAGTGATATTAATGAATGACTGCGAAACTGTGTGTGTCTAGTTAGGTGTGTTTCATTTTGGTTCTGCTTGCAGAATTATGACTGTTTCTAATCAAGTAAAATAGCAGTATAAGATTATCCAAAGGAAATGAAAACAGGATATTAAAGACATACCTGACTCCTTCCTATCTTCACTGCAGCAATATTCACAATAGCCAAGACATGGAAACAGCCTAAGTGTCCACTGACAGATGAATGGATAAAGAAAATGTGTGTGTTTACACCCACGCACTCATTCACACACACACACACACACACACACACACACACACACAGGAGTATTATTTGGCCTTAAAGAAGGAAATCCCGCCATTTGTGACAACATGGAAGGACACTGAGGGCATTATGCTAAGTGAAGTAAGTCAGACAGAGAAAGGCAAATACTATGTTCTCACTGTATGTGGAATCTAAAAAAACCCAAACTCATTGAAATACAGAGTAGAATAATAGTGGTTGCCTGAGGGTGAGAGAAAGGGAGAGATGTTGGTCAAAGGTTATAAGATGAATAAGTTCTGGGGATCTAATGTACAGCATGGTGACTATTATTAATAATACTCTGTATTATATACTTGGAAGTTGTTAAGTGATTAGATCTTAAATGTTATCACCACACACAAAAAAGCATAATTATATGAGGTAACTAACCTTATCGTGGTGATCTTTTCCCAATATATACATGTATCAAATCATCACATTGTACACCTTGAACTTAAGTATGTTACTTTAAAAAAAAAGAATTGGAAAGTAGGAGGTAAAATCAATTTCTAGATGACTGGATTGTATACTTGGAACACCATCTGAACTAATTCTAATATGTTGAAATGACTAGGGTTCAATAAGTAGTTCACAAGAAAATACTTTTTTTACCTCTATGTACTACTTTTAACAGATTTGAGTGAGTTTTTTTTCCCTGTTCCTGGATGAAATTATGGGTAATTTAATAACTTTTTCAGTCGCTCTAAGCTAAGGAAAAGTATCTGAAATACTTCGAATCACAAGGTCAGTCTCATAGCAATTAAATTAGTCATTTTCTAATAAAAATGTTTACTGTAAAAATCAATATTTAAACTTCATTTAAAGGAAAAATTTCTTCCATCTGACTGAAACCTGCAGTGTGGAAAAGTACATAATCAGTTTCTTCTCTATTTCCCTAGCCTGTATTACTGAATAGTTAATATTTAGCATAATGAATATTAATATTTAATAGTAACTGTTTACTGTGTAAGTAGGCAGATTTAATCAAGTTGTTATGGAAACTCTAAGGTAAGTGCAGTTTCACATGTTTTCTTATGCCTCCCTTCTCTCTTCCTTGTTCATTTTTCTAAAAAAGAATCGAAAAGAGCAAAGGTCCTCTCTTGCAAATCTTAAAGCCATGGCTCCGATTAGAGGATGTTTCTTTTCTCCTTTCTGCAATAGTCTTTTTCCCCTAGCATATATGAGCAGTTTCCCATTTTGAAACTTCCTGGAGATAGGATTCCCTTTCATGAAACTGGTCCACATTTCCTTTTATTCTCTCCAGATAAACCTGTACCTTATCCAACATCTTCTTCTAATTTTAACTAATGTTCACTTACTAATTGCATGTTTTGCTCAGCATCTCCTTTCTCATGCCCACAAATGGAAATACATTCTCCTGAATTAAATAAGCATATATTCCTTGAATGAACCTTTCTTGTCTAGACAGTGATTTGGTGTCTAAGTATTGAGTGCTTAGGAGAGCCCATACAAGAAGAAGACTTTATTATGTCCACAGACCTTGGTTTTCTAGTGAGTAAACATAGACGTAAAATCAATAGATTATAATATTACTATATGGCAAGAAGGGAGGTTCCCGTGTTACACTGTGTCCTTTCTTCCATCTCCAGCTCACCCTTATGGATCATGTTTCTCCATCTCTCCCTCGTAGTCATATCCCAGGAGTGCTTTGTCCCATTTACACGTCTCCATTCTGTAACAAGCACCAAAGGCATGGAAGTAATCTATGGTTGAAAAAGCAGATAGAAAAGCCTACTTTCTATACACACTAAAGCACTGGAGAAGAGAGAGGTCAAGAGAAGCAGGTCCTTGGTGACAGGAGCCTAGGAATAGAGCAGACCTTGAACCTCAGTAAAATTAGAAAAGCTGCCCTAAGCCTTCCTTTGGTCATTAATTCAATACTACCCACTCTTTTTTCTTCTCCATGCCTCCCTAACATTTTTTTAAAAATGAGGAAATCATTCCATTTTTTTTCTCTCCTCTAGGTAAGAGGCAAGAACAAAGTATAGTAGAAATTTTAAAAATTATTATTTTTTTTAAATTTATTTTTTTAAATTTATTTTTGGCTGCGTTGGGTCTTTGTTGCTGCACTCAGGCTTTCTCTAGTTGCAGTGAGTGGGGACTACTCTTAGTTGCAGTGCACAGGCTTCTCATTGCAGTGGCTTCTCTTGTTGCAGAGCATGGGCTCTAGGTGCACAGGCTTCAGTAGTTGTGGCACATGGGCTCAGTAGTTGTGGCTTGTGGGCTCTAGAGCACAGGCTCAGTAGTTGTGGCACAAGGGCTTAGTTGTTCCACGGCATGTGGGATCTTCCTGGACCAGGGATCAAACCCATGTCCCCTGCATTGGCAGGTGGATTCTTAACCACTGTGCCACCAGGGAAGTCCCAGAAATTTTTTTAAAAGAGAGACATAATAAGTGGATGCCTGCCCCTACTCCCCCTATAAACACAGAGAAATGCCATCTAAACTATGACAGAATGTCTTAAAAATGGTCAAGTTCAAAAGAAAAGAAAAGGAAAAAGGAAAATTCTGCATCCAGAAACAAAGAGATGAATCACAACCGTAAATGTAAAGGTAACTTTGAGCTGACACCTCATAGAGATCTTTGATCCCATATATAATGCTTAAGAGTACTAACTGGGGTCTGGGGTTCTAATTTCTACACAGGAACAGGGGGCAGAGAGCTGGAACTAAGACCCTGCTTAGTCCTATAAAATATTTCTAGAAAAATACTACTCACTGGCCCAAAGAGATGAGGGAGCTTGCAATCTCTGAGACTTTTTTAGGGGATTGGGGGTAAAAAATAAAAATACGGTATTACTCCACTTATATGAAGTATCTAGAGTAGTCAGACATATAGAAACAGATAGCAGGATGGTGGTTGCCAGGGGCTGGGGAAGAGGAAATGGAGAGTTATTGTTTAATGGATACAGTTTCAGTTTTGCAAGATGAAAAGTTCTAGAGCCTGGTTGCATAACAATGTGAATATCCTTAACAGTATTGATCTATACACTTTAAAATGGTTAAGATGGTAAATTTTATGTTATGTGTGTTTTACCATACTTTTTAAAAATGAATAAAGGCTGAAAGAAACTAGAAAAAGACAACCCAAAAAACAAAATCCAAAATAAGTAGAAGAAATAAAAATAGGTAGAAATCAATGAAGTAGAAAGCAGACAATAGAGAAAATGAATAAAACCAAAAGTTGTTTATTTGGAAAGAGTTTTAAAATTTATAAATCCATATTAAGAATAGTTAATAGGGCTTCCCTGGTGGCGCAGTGGTTGAGAGTCTGCCTGCCAATGCGGGGGACATGGGTTCATGCCCCGGTCCGGGAAGATCCCACATGCCGCAGTGTGGCTGGGCCTGTGAGCCATGGCCGCTGAGCCTGCGCATCTGGGAAAGGCCACAATGGTGAGAGGCCTGTGTCCCTCAAAAAAAAAAAAAAAAATAGTTAATAAAAGAAAAAACACAAATTACCCATGTCAGAAATGAAAATGGAGATATCACTACAGACCCCACAGATAGCAAAAAAATAAGGGAATGTTATGAACAAGTTGATGCCAATAAATTAGACAACACAGATAAAATGCTATTATTGCTTGAAAAGCACAACTTCCCAAAACTAACTAAAGAAGAAATAGAAAAACAGAATCTCTCTGTATCTATTAAAGAAATTTAATTTTTAATTAAAAAAAATTCCTACATGGAGAACCTGGTTGAATTCTACTGAAATGCTTACAACTCGGCAGGAAGTAAATGTAACAGCACTGCTTTAGAAATTCTTTTAACTCAGGGCACATGAGATTAAGTTGAAATAAACAACAACCTCTTCCTCCACTGAAATGAGCTGAAAAACAAAACCTATAAATCAACAAGAAGGGACTTCCCTGGTGGTCCACTGGTTGAGAATCTGCCTTCCAATGCAGAGGACACAGGTTCGATCCCTGGTCAGGGAACTAAGATCCCACATGCCTTGGGGAAACTACACGTGCACGTGGCAACTAAGCCTGCGCACCACAACTACTGAGCCTGCACACCACAACTACAGAGCCTGTGTGCCTCAACTACAGAGCCCACATGATCTGGATCCCATGTGCCACAACTAGAGAGCCCACGCACCGCAACTACTGAGCCTGCGTGCTCTGGAGCCCGCCCAGCACAACGAAGAGCCTGCCCACCACAACAAAAGATCCTGTGTGTGGCAACTAAGACCCAACACAGCCAAAATAAATAATTAAATAAAAAGGAAGGAAATTTTTTAAATCAAAAAATTTAAAAAAATTAATCAAAAAGGAAAAAGCCATCACAGGAGAGTCAGCAGGTAAAAAATAAAGTTGGTGGTGGGTAGGGGAATTAGGTAAAGATGGTCAAAAGGCACAAACAAGTAAGTACTGGAGATATACAACAATGTGACTATAGTTAACAATGCTGAATAGCATATATGAAAGTTGCTAATCCTAAAAGTTCTCATCAGAAGGAAAAAAATTATTTTGTAACTATGTGAGGTGACAGGTATTAACTAAACTTATTGTGGTGATCATTTCACAATATATACATGTGTCAGGGATCATGCTGTGCACCTTAAGCTTATATGATGTTATATGTCAATTACATCAGTAAAACTGGGCGGGGGAGTGAAGAAAGTTGGTACCTACAAGAACTGCATATAATATGACAACATAAAAGAATATGAAATAAATGTTTAAAATGGAAAAGTCAATAAAAGCACAATACATAAAAAGAATCTGCAGATAGTAAAAGAATAAAGAGAATTTCCAGAAATAAAAATCAAAGTAAAAAAACAAAAACCCGAGAACTTAAAAAATTAACTACTGAAAAGTAAATTATTAGACTTAAACATGTATCTGAGGGAATCACCTAGAAGGCAGCACAGAGATGAAATGTAAAATATAGAAGGGAAACTATAAGAGATATAGAAGGAAATGAAAAGGTTCAATACACATCTAATGTCATAAAAGGAGGGAAATAGAGAAAGGAGAGGAGGCATCAGAAAAGAAAATGGTTTAGAACTTTTCATAATTAAAGTCATGATTTCACGATCAGGAATCAAAATAAGTTGTAAATGGGATAATGAAAGTAGATCTAATACCTAGACACATCCTGATACTGCAAAATAACAAATCTTCTGAAGGAAAGAAAAAGAAAGAAAACATGTTACCTAAAAGGAATGATGATTAGGCACATGAGATGTCAGAAGACAATGGAATACTACCTTCAAACTGATAAAGGAAAAATAGCAGTCAAGAATGGGGCAAAATAGGGGCTTCCCTGGTGGCACAGTGGTTCAGAGTCCACCTGCCGATGCAGGGGACATGGGTTCGTGCCCCGGTCTGGGGAGATCCCACATGCTGCGGAGCGGCTGGGCCCGTGAGCCATGGCTGCTGAGCCTGCGCATCCGGAGCCTGTGCTCCGCAACGGGAGAGGCCACAACAGTGAGAGGCCCGCGTATGGCAAAAAAAAAAAAAAAAAAAGAATAGGGAAAAATAAAGACATTTAAGGCAAAGAATGGGGATTCTTTCATAGACTCACTGGAGAATTTCTAGAACATACACATTAGCAAGAAGTAAATTGATCCCAGAAAGACAGAATGAGATAAAATTTGTTGGGAAGTCTAAGTAAGTGTATACTAAGTAATAATGATTAATTAATGGCGTTTCAAAACAAAAGATTAAAAAGCACTAACAATAGAAAGAATAGACTTAAAGCATTCTAAAATCTTCGAGGTGTCCTCTCCCAGTGAAATCATGGACGATGCTAACTTTTTTCAGCAATAGTGTGTGACTAAGCATGGAGTACTGCCAATCAGGGAAGCTCATCTGAGCCTTGGTGGCCAGAGTTTCTACTGGGGCTCAGTCATATAGACATGGTTGACTGCCTGCATGGCTGACCTTAGTTTCCAGCCCCCTCCAGAGTTTGCACTAATACTGCATGACTCAAAACTCCAACCTAAATCACATTATTAGATTCTTCGGTTTTTACCCTCAGGTAAACAATGACACTATCAAGCAGGATATTCCAAGGGTTTAGTGATCACCTCCCAGGAGCCAAATGCAAAGGCAAGACCTCTTTTTGTGTAAGGTTAATTCTTTACTACATAGGAATAAAAACAGAAAATATTACAATAACTAAACTAATAGTATGTGTTAGGAAAACTCAGAAAAAATTCAAGAATAAATTACAAATGAAAGTTTACCAGAAGTGAAGACAAACAAGCAATAAAGAAAAACAATAAAACCACAGATTATATCTTAAGACAAATAAAATTTTAAAAAATACAAATTTTCAAAGTAAAGAATATATAAGCAGCCAGGGGCTCAATAGTCTACCATAAGAGTTTTCAGTTCTGGGATAAGGAGATTGCTTCACTTGGTGTTTATACCTGCCACAAGAGTGGTGGGTCTTAGTATCAGGGCTTGCTTGCCCACAGCCTCTATGAGATTATTTTTCCAAAAAAAAAATTCAAAATAAAGGTATAAAAAGAGAAAGAGTTCACATATCTTCTGTCAGAGTGGTGGAAAATGGAGCCCATGAAGGAGCTCAATCTTCTTGACCACAACTGGGGAGAGAATCAGGGTCTGGCCCATGTGTTGACATGTACAGAGAAACTCAGGCAGAGTTTGTGGTCTGCATGGATGACAGCCTGGATACATGCAGAGTAACTGGGTAATAACTAAGTATACTGAAGATATCTGGAACCATGATTCTCATAGTCAGAGAAGATAGGTACAAACATGTAAAGGAAGAGGTCTGAAATAAACCTTGTTAAATTGGATTGGAATTAGAGGTGTCAGTGTCCACTACACAATATTTAAAAGTGTTTAAATCTTAACAAGGCAGAATTCTATATTCAGAGAAAATATATTCAAGAATGAACGAAGGGGCTTCCCTGGTGGCACAGTGGTTGAGAATCTGCCTGCTACTGCAGGGGACACGGGTTTGAGCCCTGGTCTGGGGGGATCCCACATGCCGCGGAGCAACTAGGCCTGTGAGCCACAACTACTGAGCCTGCGCGTCTGGAGCCTGTGCTCCGCGACAAGAGAGGCCGCAATAGTGAGAGGCCCACTCACCGCGAGGAAGAGTGGCCCCCGCTTGCCACAACTAGAGAAAGCCCTCGCACAGAAACGAAGACCCAACACAGCCAAATATAATAAATAAATAAATAAAAATTAAAAATCACAGTATTCCAAATCATTAAAAAAAAAGAATGAATGAAAAATAAAGATACTTTTAGATAAGAGAAAAATAACAATTTGTTACCAACAGACCTGCATTACAAGAAATGCTAAAAGGAAGCTTTTCAGGCTAAAACACAATGCTACCAGTGGGGAAATGGAATCTTCAGGAACAAAGGAAGAGAGCATAAATGGTAACTCTCTGGATAAATGTAATAACTCTTTTATTTTAACTTCTTTAAACTACATATAAGTATTCAAGGTAAAAATTATAGTCTGTTGTGTTTATATAGATACAGATTGTATAGCTAGTAGAGTGGCTATACTGTTTTCAGATAAACTACACCAGTGATAAAGAGGGACATTCCATGATAGAAGAGTCCATACATTAGCAAGAATTATTATCATATATGTGTACACACCTAAAAACACAACATCAAACAACACTGCACTTGCATGACCCTAAGAATGAGTGCCTCCTTAAATTTTGCACCCCAGGTGCTTTACTCAATTCAGCATTACTGTAGTCCTGGCCCTGATTTTAATATCTCAGCAATTGAAAAAAATACAAGTCCAAAAATATCATGAAGACGTAAATGATATGAACTATCAACCAACTTGGACAAATTAATATTTGTACAATAATTCACCCAACATCCATCGAATACATATTCCTTTCAAGTGCACACGACATATTCACCAATGTAGACTATATATTAGGCCATACAAAAAGTGTCAATGAATTTCAAAGGATCAGAATCATACACAGTATATTCTCTGATCAAATAGGACTAGATTGAAAATCAATAACAATGAAGTAGCTAGAAAACACACAAATGTTTGGAAGTTAAGCAACACACTTCTATATAATCCATGGGTTAAAGAGGAAATCAAAACGGAAATAAAATATTTTGAACTGACTGATAAAAATACAATATATAAAAATTTGTGGAATGGAGTTAAAGTAGGGAATTTCTGGCTTTAAATGTTATATTAGAAGAGAAAAAGGGTCTAAAACCAGTAACCAGAGGTTCCACTTTAAGAAGCTAGGAAAAGAAAGGCAAAGTAAACCCTCAGTACCTAGAAGGAAAAAGAGAAGAAATAAACTAAATAGAAAATAGACATACAATTAGCCAAACCAAAAGTGATTTCTTTGGAAAGAGCAACAAAATTGATTAAACCTTACCTAGATTTGTTAAAAATAAAAAACTGCAAAGACAAGTCACCAATATCAGGAATGAAAAAGAACTTATCACTAAGGAATATATAAATAGTAGAAGTCTAACAAGGGAATTATTATGAACCACTTCATTGCAACAAATTTGACAACTCAGATGAAATGGACAAAATTACTGAAAAATATAACAGTATAAGACAGATACAAGATGAAATAGAATATCTGAATAGCCCAATACCTATTAAAGAAAGTGAATTTGTTATCATAAACAAAGAAAACTCCAGGCCTAGCTAATTTTACTAGAGGATGCTACCAGACATTCAAGAAATAATACCAATCTCATACAAACTTTTCTAGAAGAGAGGAGGAAATAGTTCACATCTTATTTTATGAGGCCAGTACTACACTAATACCAAAACTTGAGAGAAAATGACATACTAAAAGCTTTGTGCAAAATTTCTTAAGAAAGTGTTAGCAAATTGGGTAGGAAAAACACATTCCTCCTGTGTTTCTCCTTTAGTCTTACACTGCTATCACACTTTACTTCTGGTCACCAAAAGTATGGGGTTTTTTTAACATCAGCTGGGTGTCCTAAAATTTAACTCAATTCTGATGCCATCTACCTAGAGATAGCATCAGATCCCACAGGTTAAGGGCACAGTCCAAAAAGACTCTCTTCCCTACTCCCCCACCCCATTTCAGATGCCAATCAAAAGCCCCAGGTTGTCACCTGTACTTTTGACCAACTGGCTATAAATCGGGGTTCTTCATTGGGTATGAGCATTTCCTAGAACTCACAGAACTCAGAAACACTTATGTTTGCCAGTTTGTTATATAACAAAATATATCATAAAGGATACAGACGAACAGCCAGATGAGGGGGTACATAGAAGGAGGTCTGGAAGGGTCCCAAGCCAAGGAGCTTTTGTCCCCGTGTTGGGCCACACCACCCTCCCGGTATGTGACTGTGTTCACTGACCTGGAAACTCTCAGAATCCCATACTTTGGGGATTTTTATGGAGGCTTTATCATGTAGGCATAATCAATCATTAGCTTAATCTCCAGCTCCTCTCCCTTACCTATGATGGGTGGGGCTGAAAATTCCGAGCTTCTAATCATGGCTTGATATTTCTGGTGACCAGCTACCATCCAGGGGTCCACCAAGAGTTACCTTCTCAGAACAAAAGACACTCTCCTATTACCTAGGAAATTCCAAGGGATTTAGGAACTCTGTCAGGAACCAGAGTCAAAGACCAAATATTAGAACAAAAGATGCTCCTAGTACTCTTATGACTTAGGCAAATACAAGGGTTTTAAGAGTTCTATACTAGGAACTGGGGGCAGAGATCAACATATTTTTCTATTATTTCACACAAATTTAATATGGAAATATATATAAGGAAAGACAACATGACCTACATATACAAGATTGAGTTAACAATCAAAAATCAATTTAATTCATCATATTAGTTGAATGAAGGAGTAAAGACATATTGCTTCAGTAGATTCAGAAAAAGTATCTTACAAAATATAATATCCCTTCCTGATAAAAACTTGCAGCAAGCTAGGACTAGAGAACTTGCCAAATTTGATAGAGCATCTATACAAAACCTCCACCTATGTGTAATGATGAAATATTAAACATTATCCTCCCATGACCAAAAAATGGCAACAATGTCTACTTTCACTACTTCTATTCAACACTGTATTGGAAGTCCTAGCAAGTACATTAAGGCAATAAAAATGAATGAAGATATAAACACTGGCAAAGAAGAAGAAAATCCTATTTGTAGATGGCAATTGTTTGTTTACAAAATCCTAAAGAATCTGTAAAGCAAGAACTAGCACTTATAAGTAAATTAGAAAAGTTGCTGCATACAAAGTTATTATGTAATAATTAACTAATTTTATATAGTAACAGCAAACAATTGAAAAGTGAAAAATTTTTTAAAAAGCCCTAACAGATGTAATTAAAGTTCCCTGCCTGATCAGCCCTCACTCAGCTGAGCTCTCTGTCTTCTTGACAACCCTCCCAGCTTCTTCCCTTGCTCGAATATGGTGGTCACACTGCCTATAAGAAATAAATATGAAATAATGTATAAAAATATTAATAAGAATTAAAACCAATTCTATAAAACACTTTGAGAATTAAATTTCTAATTACCTGTAAGCAAAAATAATATTGGTGAAGACTTCAGAGAAGGGTAGAGGGATTGAGAGAACAGTCACCTTAGGGTGATGAAAGAATCACAAAGAATAGAGAAATGAGAGAGGTAAGAAAGGTCTTATTTAAACCTATACTGGCTCTCTGTATTAAAAGGCAATATAGTATAACAGTTAATTCAATGAGAACTATGTTGGCTATGATTACTATATTTTTGTTATTTGCTAAGAGGAAAAGGGGAGATTTCTGAAACATTCACAGGTTCTTTCTAGAATGCTAAACAAATGCTGATAAATGAAAAGTTCATGGACTGTCATTTTCAATGACAATGTAGGTCAAATAAAAAAATTTGTTATAAGAAATGAATATGTTCACTTCATTTAAAATATTTTTTGACTCAATGCATCACCATGTAAACTGTAGAGATTACTTTGAAAATCAGTACAAATCAGGATTTTTTCTGTCTGTTCTAAAGGTGGGTCAGAAAATAATGTACAGCATCTTTACCAATTCTGAGTTCAAACACAATATAACACCTGGTTTCTTTGTCAATAGATATGTCTTAAGTGTCCCACAAATCACATCTAGCTCCCTGGGTATCAAAGAAGGTAGAAATTATATGAAGGGACTGAGAAAAGTATGACTATCATGAAGAATGAATGTCATGAAGAATGGTGAGGTGTCATCTGCAACACAACAAAGCTTAACCCATTCCTTTGAAAACAGGGTGAAAAAAATCACCTAGTTTCTTAAAAGATAGCCTTGATACTCCAGAGAGAATATTTAAATTATTTGAGGCAGACAGCTTACCCAGTAAGACTAAGTTGCTGTTTTCCATCATCACATCCCAGTACAGTTCCCTCAGAGCAGAACCCCAGATATTCCACTCCTCCTGAGTGAACTCTAGGGCCGCTTTCCTGAATGTTCCCCATTCCTAAAAGCACAAACCCATGCATTACTGGTGAAATTCAAGAAATGTTTTCAAAATAGAAAGAGAGTAGATAAAGGTTTGAAATCCAAGAAGGGAGCTATATAGCAAGCAAATAGGCTGTGGCTGGAAGTCTATGGTAAGAGAAGTTAAGGAAATCAGTGTTTCAGAAGCAGATTATACACATATTTTTAAGTAATCTAGTTGATTTAGTTCATGCCTATTATGTGATTCCTCAGTTATAAAAACATGGCTAGAAACATGGCTAGAAATGAATAAAAGAATCACAATTTACCAATTAACTGAAATAGTGAATATGAGCATACCGCATACCATATGCCTACCTCATAAGTTATTAATAAATGTTAATTTTTACATCCTCTTTTTTCATTATAGACTAAGAAAATATAACTTATGGAATTTCTTTTCCAACATAGTATTAAATCTCTATATAGATAGAGAGATAATAGTTTGCATAAAATTAAAGAATTTCTTCAAGCCTCAGGTTCATCATTATGTTATATACCATTTTTTTTCTAGTTGTCATTTTTTTAATGGTTTCATATTTCACACTAAATTGTTCTCTAACTTGTTTCGGTTTGGGTGTAAGACCATTATTTAAAAATATGTAATAAGCACTAAACTTTCTTATGCCAAAGTATTTAGTAAATTTTTTTAACAGCTACAGTTAATCTAGTAGATATATCACTCTTAATTATTCTTTTATACTACCAAGTTTAGGGTGGGGAAAAAAATCTCTAACATCTTTTCTACTGATGGGAGTCTGTAGTTAGCTACTTCTTTTAAATCTAGCTGAGCCACCATCCCTCACTGAATACTTTCCTTGATCCTGAGTTAGTGGATATAAAACACAGAATGGTCCATAATCACATAGAAAATCATCTTAAACCAGCACAAACTTTTCAAGTACACAATAAATCTTCCTCCTGATAATCATCTTTCCATGACTGATTCCCAAGGTAGATCCCTGATTTCTCTGTATGCAAGTCCCAATTTTACTCCTACCCAATCCTAAAAGCCTCATAAAACATGTAATCTCAACACATACCAACACTGGGGCCAATCAACTGCCAATCGTATATTTTCCTAGAAAATGCAAAGAATTTCTAAGTTTTTCCATGAGTAATCAAATGGGACCAACTTCTCTTAATCATCTCTTCACCATTCTTTGGATGGTGAAATACCTCCTCCTCAAGCGATTTAATTTTACTCCATAACTCTTCTTGAAATAAGGCTGAACTTATAGGAGATGCTACATATTAATGGAAGAACAGGGAGACCCATCAGGAGGACCCTGGGCTGGTTGGCATCATACTTCACTGGTATGGGAGGAACTGGGGACAGCTTCTTAGAGATCTCTGTTACACAGGACATTTCTAAATAAAGAAATGTTCACATGATCTAATATATAACTATGTTCAAGAACTAGAGAGAAACAGAAACTTACCAAAGCCATGGTTTAAAATGGTTGAGAAACTTGTCAGTACTCTTCAGGGTTTCCCTCCTGGAGAAGCACAGAGACTACAGGGGTGAGAACTGGGAAAAGAAAAGTTGCTCTGACACCAGATGTACTTCTCAGCTCCCCAAATGATACACATTAATATGTGCTTTTTTCTTTTGTCTTCCTGCCTGTAAACAGTACCTTATCAACATACATAGAAAATAACAGGTAAGATGGGTTCTGGACAAATCTAAACAGTCCACACACAAAGAATCCAGTAAACAGGCACAGATACCAAGCAGAGGTCCTCCTGTCTGAAAGTAGGATCCAGACATTTCAGCAGGAGGGTTCTGGCTCGTCCTCCACTCTGCTAATACTGGCCTGGGCCTGAGATTGGACACATCTCGAGCAGATACTCCTCCCGCTATTCTACTTTGCAGGGCTGCAAAGGGAAGACATCATCCACACCTAAACCTCATCTTTGGCCTCAGAGATTGACACATACTGTAAATTCCAATAAGGCGCACATACTGTAAATTCCAGTAAGGCCCACAACAATATTTCAGGTCCTGCATGTCCTTCCATAATTTTGCCATTCACCTACTTCATCAAGAAGTGGGGTTTAGGGGCTTCCCTGGTGGCGCAGTGGTTAAGAATCTGCCTGCTAATGCAGTGGACACAGGTTTGAGCCCTGGTCCAGGAAGATCCCACATGCCGTGGAGCAACTAAGCCTGTGCACCACAATTACTGAGCCTGTGCTGTAGAGCCCACGAGCCACAACTACTGAACCCCGGGCACCCTAGAGCCCGTGCTCCACAAGAGAAGCCACCGCAATGAGAAGCCTGCGCACCGCAACAAAGAGTAGCCCCCGCTAGATGCAACTAGAGAAAGACCACACGCAGCAACGGAGACCAAACGCACCCAAAAATAAATTAATTTTTTTAAAAAAGTGGAGTTTATTTCCCTTCCTTTGAAACAGAACAGGCCTTTGTGATTCTCTTGATGAATAGAGTGCAGTGGAAATGACACTGTCTATTTTCCGTGGCTAGATTAGGAAAGGCAATAGAGCTTCCTACTAACTCACTGTCAAGACGCTCACCCTGAAACCCACCCATTTTGCTGTGAGGAATCCAAGCAGCTACACAAGAAGGCCACAGCTAGATATTCCAACCACAGTCCAGCTGAGGTTCCAGCTGACTGCCAGCATCAACCACCAAATACATAAGTGAGCAAGCCTTCCGATGATTCCAGTCCCCAATCTTAAAACCACCCCAGCTGAAGCCAAGTAGAGCAGAGACTAGCTGTCTCCACAAAGTTCTGCCCAATGAACAAATTAATGATTAAAACAAATGCTATCATTGTTCTAAGCCACTAATTTTGGGATGGTTTTTTATGTAGAAACTGGGAATGCCTGATCACCCCACACACAAAACCAGAAAACAGTGCCATTGCAAAACAACATTGGCTCACATGGAGTCCTACCCCCAAGCCAACACAAGTCCCAGAATCCAACAGCTTAGCACTTCCCATTTCTTTCTTTTTTTTTTTTTTTTTTTTTGCGGTACTCGGGTCTCTCACTGTTGTGGCCTCTCCCACTGCGGAGCACAGGCTCCGGACGCGCAGGCTCAGTGGCCATGGCTCACGGGCCCAGCCACTCCGTGGCATGTGGGATCTTCCCGGACCGGGGCACGAACCAGCATCCCCTGCATTGGCAGGCGGACTCTCAACCACTGTGCCACCAGGGAAGTCCCTACTTTTGTTAATCTTTGATTTGTATATCCTGAAGCTGTTATTAGGTATATTTAAATTCATGATCACTATATCTTCTTTTTAGGTTTAAACATTTATCATTATGAAACGTCCCCGTTATCTCTTGTAAGTCCTTTTTTTTTTTCTGAACTTAATAGAGAGACACCAACTTTCCTTTAGTATTCGCATTATACCTCTTTCAGATTTCGTTTTCTGTGTCATTATACTTAATATGTGTCAGCTGCTAAAAGCATATGGTTGATTTTGTTCTTTTCAACAATTTTCTTTTTATTGGAGTGTTTAATCCACTTTCATGAAATTTAATTACTAATAATGTTGGGTGCACCAACGTTTGCTTTTATGTGTCCCCTCTGTATCTTTGTTCTTCTATTCCACCATTCTTACCTTCTGTTGTATTAGTCAAATACTTTTATTATTCTAGTTTTCCCCATTAATTTATACTGTCATACATTATTCTTAGTGGTTATCATAAAGATTGCAGTATTATGCTTAACTTATTACAACTAGAACTCTCATGCAGTGGCTGTTAGAGCATACCATACTGGAAATATGTTCATTGATGTCTACAAAACTAAACATAGATGTATTACATAACCCAGCAATCCTTTCCCTGTGCATCTCCACAGCAGAAATGAATGCTTAAGTCCACAAAACACATGTACAATAATGTTCATAGCAGTAGTATCTCTTCAAGAAAAATTAGAAACAACTCAAATTTCCAACAACGGAATAGCAGAAAAATAATCTGTACAACATCCTATAATGGAATACATAGCAAAAGAAAAGGTGCCTGCTATATGCAGCAACATGGATGAATCACACAAAGATGTTGAAAAAAAAAAGATCTATCTTTGGGCTTCCCTGGTGGTGCAGTGGTTAAGAATCCGCCTGCCAATGCAAGGGATGTGGATTCGAGCCCTGGCCAGGGAAGATCCCACATGCCGCAGAGCAGCTAAGCCTGTGCACCACAATTACTGAGCCTGCACTCTAGAGCCTGAGAGCCACAACTACTGAGCCTGTGTGCTGCAACTACTGAATCCTGTGTGCATAGCCCGTGCTCTGCAACGAGAAGCCACTGCAATGAGAAGCCCGCGCATTGCAACGAAGAGTAGCCCCCGTTTGCCGCAACTAGAGAAAGCCCGTGTGCAGCAACGAAGACCCAACACAGCCAAAAATATAAATTAATTAATTATTTTTTAAAAAGATCTATCATTATGTGAAGTTCAAAACAAGTAGATTTTGAATGGAGAGGTACATAGGTATTTGTATTCAGTGAGACCCAGATAAAAGGGTAAACTATTCAGTTCCTACATTATTCCCCTGAATAAATACACCTGAGCAAGTTACTGTCATCTGCATTCCACCCAGCAGGAGCCAATGTGACGCTGCAGAACATGTCTACACTTGAAATGACACAAATATTCCCAGAGGGTCCTAGATGGGGAGGTAAAGTTGGCCAAGACATGGGAGCTGCAGAGCAAGTAGAAGCAAATGCCCAGGTAAGATTCAGCTTTAGCAATAACTGATTTGTTTAAAATAAATTATAGAACATCCATTCATGACTACTAAGGCGGTCATTAAATGCATGGTTATAAAAAAATTTGTAGTTAACATGTTCAATTATATCTCAATAAAGGTTGGAAAAAGTACGAAAATATTCAAAACATATTCAATAGTTTTTTTAAAATAAATACATAAATATAATGTCATTTTGCCTGTAAAATGTATATATATAAACAGAAAGAAAAATATCTGGAAAGTTATGAAACCTTTTGTTAGCATTGCTTCTCTATGCTGTGATTTTTTTATTTAAAACTACTTCTTAAGAGTGGCCATGTATTAATATATTTTTGAAGAATAGCTTTCTTTTTAAAGACTTTTAAAGTGCATATTTATATTAATACATGGCCACTCTTAAATTAAGAAGTAGTCTTAAACAGTCTTCCCTGAACTTTGAGAAGATGCTCAGGACAAATAGATGCCAACTCTGAATGGCTTTTGTTTCTTTCTGCTCCCAACACCTGATTTAACACTTTGATTTTTACATATGGCAAAAGAAGTTGGAGTTTTGCCTAGAAAAGAACGGTTAAAAGTCCCTGAGAGAAGTCTCATAAGTTTTGATGTTCTAAATGCTGCCTTCATGTCTTCCTGATGTATGGGTTTAATTCACTTCTAATTCATTCCTTTTAGCCCTGATGACAACCAAACACCTGTTTAATCTTGTTCTGTTAGTCTCATTTTTACATCTAATCTCACGAAAATTTTCTTGAATAAAACCTATTTACCTCCCCAGAGCTTTTATGTCTTCCAATATAACTGGTCATAACCTAAGAATGCTGTCATCAGAATGTCTCTTCCATATGCATTCCCAACATGTGTCATCTGACTTAAGAGCCTTTATCACAGTCTACCTTATATTTATTCCCACATATATTTGATCTTTGCTTAATAATGAGCAACTTACCTCTTTTTAGTGCTGGTGTCCCGTCAAGTACTAGAATAAGTTCTGGCATATTTTGAGCAGGAAACATATAAAAGTAGATGAAGATATATCTTAAGGATATTCATCATAGTTTTGATAATCATAAATATCTCAGGGTAGAAAAGAGGTTAAATAAATTATTGATGGGAGTTCCCTGGTGGTCTAGTGGTTAGGATTTGGCACTTTCACTGCTGGGGCCTGGGTTCAATCCCTGGTCAGGGAACTGAGATCCCACAAGCCACATGGGGCAGCCAAAAAAAAATTATTGGTAGCTATTATTAATATGTACGTTAGTTTTTAAAGGTGATTACCCTAATTCATAGTAAATGTTGAGGAGAGACATTTGTAATGAATTAATAAGTAAGACAGGCAGGTTAAAAACTTATCGAGATTATGTGCAGTTGTAAATAAGAACAAGCTCTGTGGTTAAACTTTCAGAATGTCAACCTTAGCTCTAAAAGTTATTGCGTGTGTTCATAAGTATCTTATCTGTACTGCCTAGATTTCCTTATCAATAAAGTGAGAAAAACAATAGTACCTAGTACCTCAAAGAGTTGTCAGGATTAAGTGAAAAAAAAAAAACCAACAAAATATTATCTATTTTTTATTGATGATGAAGAGACTATTTCATATCCTGTAACTACCATTAAAGGAAATTCTCTTCTTTGCTTACCATTTTTTCTGAAAGTGAAATTCAAGCTTCTTAGGCCTGCTCTTCCTTATAATGCTAATATATTGCAGAGCACAGCTTACAAATATAATTTGTTTTCACCAGCAACATTACCCACAAAGAATGGGAGAAAGAAGAGGACAGCAGCTGCAGGTAGACACCATTCTGCCTCATAAAGCTAGCTAAGAGAATCTGACCCACTTAAGTAAGAAATTGAAAATACTAACAAAAAATCAATCTTGTTCGCTGTCTAACCCAGGCTTTTATGCTGGGTTATTTATAACTATGCATATTTATAACTACTAACATCTAATTCTGTTATCTGAAATTATAAACTCATCCTTGTCAGCATAATTTATATAATGGAGTCTCCTAAGATATTTGGTGTTGAGATATTAGCGCTATTTTCCGAAAGTAACTATGCAAAAAAAGAAAATTAAATACTTAATTGAGTAGCTTTACTTGATAATTTGTTCCCCTGGAATTATGCATAAATTGTTATCTGTAAAATTGCAAAAGGTCTGTCAAATCAGTTGGAGGTCATTGTTACTTCCTTATCCCTACTGATAAAGTTAATTTGTGTATCAGGATCCACAAAATGGGGGCCATCCCAGTGGTCCAGTCTACGTCACAAATGTAAACTTAAGTCAGCTTACATTTACAGGAAACACCTATTAAGGAAATCTAACGTTACACCAATCACAATCTTCGAACTCAGCTTTGGCTAGCTTACCTTACCCTAGAAAACTGGACCAGCTAGCCTTATAAGAAAATCCCTGACCTCCTAGCCAATTATGCCATTTCCCTGTTGCCTCTTCTAACAGTATATAAAATTCTCTCTTGCCCAAAACCCCTTGGGAGAGTGCTCTACTGCTTGTGAGGCACTGTACTCCCCCAATCCATGGATTGTTTCCCTTGAATTAAAGACATCAAACTCGTTGCCAGATTGTTTTAGTTTTTGTCATTTGACACTACATACAAGGAAGTATAATAAACCATTGATTGGGTTGAATTCCTTTTTCAAACTAAGAGCTAGAGAGGTCTTTATTCATTTAAATGATTAATTCACGTGATTTTTTTTCCTGAAAAAACCAAAATCATATAAACATAAGCATAAGGAAAAATTTAGAATGTACACCAAAATGTTAATAGTGATTATTTCTAGATGCTAAAATTATAAGTACTTTTGATTTTATAAGTGCAATTTGGATTACTAATTTTTTTCAACAAGACTACGTTCATTTGATCATCAGGAATTAACACCTATTTCCATATAAAGCATTTTTCTAAAAAGCGTTGTAGGGAGGGGTATCTTCTACTTCTTATGAAAACTGTGAGCAAACAGACTGGCAAAATGACAGCTAAAAGCACTAAAAAACCAGTGTGACTAAAATAAATAAACCTACCAAGTATTGTACCTTCTCTTACTGTATTTCATAAACATAGTGAGACACTTTCTATGTTAAGATTCACCTGTGAATGCTGCTCAGTATTCTGTAATAACCTAAACGGGAAAATAATTTGAAAAAGAATAGATACATGTATATGTATAACTGAATCACTCTGCTGTACACCTGAAACTAACACAACATTGTTAATCAACTATGCTCCAATATAAAATAAAAATTAAAAGAAAAATCTTCAGTCCTAAAAAAAAAAATTCACCTGTGAATGTGCACAATTTAGGTAAGTGACACTTTCAATATTTGGTTCATAGTAGAGACTTAATAAATGTGGCTTTATCATTGCCTTTCTCTACTGAACGACCAGTTAATGTATCATATTGGATACAATCCTTGAAAAATTGGTAAGAAATGCCATTATAATAATTAAACTGATTTATAATTTAGCAATTTGAGTAATTTTGTTCATAAACATGAATACTGCATAGCATTACACTTTGTATTTTTCATACTAGAATCTCTTTTTGTATCTATATAATATTAATCACTTGAATGTAATGTGATTAACCTTATATTTACATGATACAGGAAATTATTTTGGGACAAACTCCTCTTAAAGTTCACTTCCAGGTGTAAATTATTGTTTCCAGGTCAGTGATTCAAACCCTGTTTGGTTCCTGTACACCTTTGACAGTCTCCAAATTATAGACTTTTTCCCCAAGAAAAATATACATTAATAAAATAAATATACAATAATTTGGTATACAATTCCAGGGCAAATCATTTAAGGTGAAGGATACCTGTTATAGACCATCTAAGCATATACCTTGTTTTCTTAAAAATGCCCATTATAATTAACTTTATATTTTCATTGCTCCTCATTCATGAATGTGGGATGACTTAGGATATCCACATAATAACAACAGGGTTCTTTTTAATTTTAATATTTTTAACTTATTTATTTATTTTGGCTGTGCGGGGTCTTAGTTGCGGCACACATACTTCTTAGTTGCAGCATGTGAACTCTTTAGTTGCGGCATGGAGAATCTAGTTCCCCGACCAGGGATTGAACCTGGGTCCACTGCATTGGGAGCGCAGAGTCTTACCCACTGGACCACCAGGGAAGTCCCAATAACAGGTTTTTAGGTTTCTTTTCCCTTTTTTTTCTATAAATTTATGCATTTATGTATTTCTTTATTTTATTTTTGGCTGCACTGGGTCTTTGTTGCTGTGCATGGGCTTTTCTCTAGTTGTGACGAGCAGGGGCTACTCTTCGTTGCGGTGCACAGGCTTCTCATTGCGGTGGCTTCTCCTGTTGCGGAGCACAGGCTCTAGGTGCACAGGCTTCAGTAGTTGCGCTTCGCGGGCTCTAGAATGCAGGCTCAGTAGTTGTGGCGCACGGGCTTAGCTGCTCCGTGGCATGTGGGATCTTCACAGACCAGGGCTCGAACCCGTGTCCCCTGCACTGGCAGGCGGACTCTTAACCACTCTGCCACCAGGGAAGTCCCCGAATAACAGGTTTTAATTTAAGCACTTATTATTGCTAGCCACTGTTCTAGTGCTGTTAATATTAACTCTCCTAATCCTCATAAAAACTGTTTGAAATTGGCACTATTATTTGTGTTTTACAAACAATAAACTCTGGAACAGAAAGACACTGAATATATTGCCCAAATTCACCAATACTTACAAGACCAAGATTTTAATCCAGATACTCTAGATTAGGGGTCAGTTAATTTTTCTGTAAAGGACCAGGTATAAATACGTTGGGCTTTGTGGGCAAAAGAGAAAATCAAGGATATTATGCAGGTGCTAATGTAACAAGAGAGAAAACAAATTTCCATAGAAGTTTTTGACAAAATTCAAAACTTTATTTATGAACACTGAAATTTGAATTTCATATAATTTTCACATCATGAAATATTGTTCTCCTTTTGATATGCTGTCAATTATAGAAAAATGTTAAAACCAGTCTTAGTTCACAAGCCATAAAAAAAATTGGCTACAAGCTGGATTTGGCCTGTAGGGTCATGGTTTGCTGACCTCTGCTCAAGACTCAGAGACCATTATACATTGCTGACTCAGTCTACACAATTATGTGACTTGAAAAAAATGGATGCTGCCTAATCTTATTCAATAATTGGTTGGTACCACATAAATCTCCTAATTCCTTGGAAAAAAATTTCTGCCCTTCTTGAAAGAGATGTCTCTATACATACCCCTAATAATATTCTTAAAGGTCTCCAAAACAGAAGACCGTTTTTACTGAAGACTGTTACTGAAATCAATCAAACCTTATCCTACCTTGCCATTTTCCCACTCATGTCTTTGAAGAAAATCTAAAGTATCTAATGTGTAATTCTACCTAAGCATTAACAAATCACCATGTAAAGGAGGACTGTTTCTGTGTCATGGGACTGCTTAGACAAAAACAGCACAAGGGGAAAGTGTTGCCAAGTGGTTATACAAAAATTAACTGTAGGAAGGGCATTTGATAAGGAACTGGGAAAGAAGGGTATCCATCCTAATGGTACTATCATTAACTGGGAATAGAAGGCTTGGCCAGGTAAATGGATTAGTCACTATTTGGCAGGGCATTTAAGATGAAGTTATTCTATATCCTGAGAAACAAAAATTCATTCCATGAAACAAAAACCTCAAAATGACTTCTAGGAAAGGGGAGCCCTCTTGCACTGTTGGTGGGAATGTAAATTGATACAGCCACTATGGAGAACAGTATGGAGGTTCCTTAAAAAACTAAAAATAGAACTACCATATGACCCAGCAACCCCACTACTGGGCATATACCCTGAGAAAACCATAATTCAAAAAGAGTCATGTACCCCAGTGTTCATTGCAGCTCTATTTACAATGGCCAGGACATGGAAGCAACCTAAGTGTCCATTGACAGATGAATGGCTAAAGAAAATGTGGCACATATATACAATGGAATATTACTCAGCCATAAAAAGAAATGAAACTGAGTTATTTGTAGTGAGGTGGATGGACCTAGAGTCTGTCATACATTGTGAAGTAAGTCAGAAAGAGAAAAACAAATACTGTATGCTAACACATATATATGAAATCTTAAAAAATAAAAAAATGGTTCTGATGAACCCAGGGGTGGGACAGGAATAGACGCAGACATAGAGAATGGACTTGAGGACATGGGGAGGGGGAAGGGTAATCTGGGACGAAGTGAGAGAGGAGCATTGACATATACACTACCAAATGTAAAATAGGTAGCTAGTGGAAAGCAGCTGCGTAGCACAGCGAGATCAGCTCGGTGCTTTGTGACCACCTAGAGGGGTGGGATAGGGAGGGTGGGAGGGAGATGGAAGAGGGAGGGGATATGGGGATATATGTATACATATAGCTGATTCACTTGGTTATACAGTAGAAACTAACACAACATTGTAAAGCAACTATACTCCAATAAAGATGTTAAAAAAAAAATGACCTCTAGCTTGGCTTTGAGATGTGCAGCTGCAACACTTCTCCTTTCATGGCCCTTCTTTTGGGATATGGCAAAACTTGGAAGGAAAAGGGGATCATGACATACTAGGCCTTTCATACCAAGACAGGCTAAATAAGAACACATTCTTCATCACTAGCAAGCCTCCATCATCCATGTTAAATACACCCAATGGAAGTAAGAGAAAGATTGGAATACCCTTGACCCTTCCCTGTATCATAAAAAAAAAGTCAGGTTGACTGAAGCCTAGGAGCAGAATCTGTTTCTGCGTTCACAGCAGTTTCCTGTCAACAAAGCTATGAAAATGCTGTAGATCTGCAATATGCAGCTTGCCCCCACAGAGCTTCCAAGAGGAATCTTTGGAGGAAGGACTCCTACTCTTGGTGCCTTAATATCATGTCTTCCCAGGACCCTGCCTCGAGGGCAATTCCAGTTCTAAAATCCCTGTAATAAACACGGAGCTCTGATTTTTTTAGTTGGAACCTTCATTCTAGGTCTCAAATATTCAACTTCCCTTTGAATATTTGAGACCTAGAATGCTAGCCATTTTTGTGCAGCTAGCATTTCTGCGCAGTGTGGCTATAACAGGTGAAAACACAGAGGCAGTGAAAGAAAGCCCAGTGCAACAAATTCCAAGAAACCATGGAATTGACAATTAGCTCCCAAACAGGTAACACTTAATGTACTGCATGCCTGTGTATTAAGCACTAGGCTAGACAATAGATACAGGGTGCAATGATGAAGGCAACAGGGGCCATGCTTTAGAACTGGGGACCTCTGTGGTTAACAAGGGGCTCGCAGCCTTTGACAGGCACAGGCTGAGTCACACAGGGATCTTGTCCACTGATTCCTCAATGCTAGAACTGCAAAAATGAAACCACCCTCCTAAAAGTAAAAAAAGTCACACCAGGCCAGTTTTGATCTGTCGCTAGTCGGTCACAATAGTGCTGTCACAGGATCACTTGGTCACAGTGTAACACCTCACAGTCGCCGCCGACCACGGTCATTAATAAGGCCCCGCCCCCTCTCAGTCCTAGGAAGCTGATCTGGGCCAGTCAGAGCCTTCCCACCACGCACACAACCCCGACCCCATACTCACACACACGCTCTCGCTTGCTCGCTCTCGCCCTTTCTGATACACACATACACTCATATGCGTGTATCTTACACTGATGCAGTCACACAATCACACGTGCCCACCCACAATCACCTTCCTCAGCAGCTGACTCACAAAGGCCCGAGGCTCCTGCCTCCACCTGCCGCATCCGTGTCTGGGAAACTCCGGGACTCCTGCAGTGAGCTCCTCCCTCACCCAGACCCGGGTCACCTCAACTCACCGCACAAAATCGATGACCACAAGGCTAGCGGAAAAAGAACCAGAGGCCGAAGTTCATCAATCTCCCCAAGGCCTGTGAAAAACGGAGTCCAACCCGGAAGAGTGCGGACGCCGACACTAACACACCGGAGCGTCCGCAGCTGGGACCTTGCCGTTCCTAACCCGCCGCCCCGCAGACTCCTGGGAGCGCCTGCCCGCGCGGGAGTACGCAGGCGCAGAGAACTGAGCCTTGGCGGGGGTGAGGTTGGTAGGTCCTAGGGCCTCTGAGGAGGAGGCGGGAATTGGGAGCTCCGGTCCCGGAGGGCAGACTAGGGAAGCGGGACCTGGTGGGCAGTCTGGGGAGGAAACCGGGAGCCCAAACCCGGCCTGGTAATTATGAGGAGGGAACCGGAACCGGGCCGTGGTAACCAGACACTCAGATCTGTGCTACCGGGGCCTCGGGCGTGGTGCGTGGGCGTGACCCTGAAGGTGACAATCGAGTGTGACCTGGAGCGAGTTTTGCGAGGAGAGATTTTGTCTGTTTTGACCCCGAGGAATCTCCATCGCAGGGAGCAGGGCCTCACACAGAGGATGCTGTGTGTGTGTGTGTGTGTGTGTGTGTGTGTGTGTGTACCAAATGGAAGCGGCCTCCTGTGTCCAACCTGCTGCGTTTTGGATGCGTGCTGCTCTGTGGGATGTTGCGGCTGACTGTGTGTGAAACTGGATGAGTCTTCTTGCGTGGGGACTCCTCTGCATATGTCTCTCTTCGGATTAGGTGTGAGTCGTGTTTGAGATCGCAGGTGACTATGGAGAAGCGAAATGATTTGTGATGTGATTTTATGACTTTGCCTGGAATTAGTAATGTGCTGTCTGAGATTGTGAATAACATGGGGGTGCTGTGAGACAGTGCTTTTCTGAAGTAAGTGATCGAATGTAACTTTGCATGTGTTTGTAACCTACTGTTACTATTTGTGATTGAGAGACTCTGTATGACCACTAGTTAGGTACTTAAGATTTGATTATCTGAATAGTGGTCATTAAGCCTGCCTGCAAAATTGTAACTCAGTAGCAATTTAGCAAATAAAATAGAGGTATGAGTATTGGAAAGGAAGAGGTAAGATTTCATAATTCCCAGATGGTAAGGTTCATTACAGGGAAGTATTATATGAACTAAAACCAATGTGTTAAAATGATTAGTGTTCCGTGGGTAGCATGCAGGAAAAAACAATTTTTACCCATAACTAGCACTTTCAACACTGATATATGAGTAAGTTTTCCTGCTTCTGGATGAAATCTATGGCAGGGTCAATAGCCTCTTCAGGCATTCCATGATATAAAAGTATTAGGTATACTTTTAATCATAAGACCAGTCTCATTTTAGTAATTAAAATATTATTTTGCTATTTAAAATATTCACTGTAGCAGTCAATACTTCAGACTTCATTTAGCAAACTATTCTTCTCTCTGCCTGAAAGCCTACAGTGTGGAAAGATCAATTTCTTTTCTATTTCCATACCTGTACTACTAAAAAGGGTTGTTCAGTAGTTAATACTTAAATTACTATTAATAAATTAATAATGAATAATGGTTAATTTTCAATAATTAACTATGCTAATTTGTAGTACGCACGGGTGAATCAATAAAGAGATGAAGTAGAGAAATTAAATAGAAAGTCCAAATATTCTCAAGTATATAGTGATGTGTAATGATGATAGAGATGGCATTTCACATCAACTGAGAACATAGTATTGCTAAACAAAACATGCAGGGAAAAAAATCTTCACAAGGCATAAACACTTTAATAGTTACATGAACAGCTAAGAAAAATTACTTTCAACTTAAAATAGATAAAGGTTTAATTTATTAAATCGAAAAAGAAGATAATGTCAACCAATTAGAAAATAAACACCTATGAGAAAAACAGACATACTGTAAGATGTCATCACAGAAAAGAAATAAAAACTTATTCTCATAATAAGAAATGTGTAAATTAGAATATATATATTATATATATATGGTAGGCAGAGATTAAAGTTATTTTCAACTGCATTCATTAGGGTGTGGAGAGGTATTCTCATGCACTGCTGGAGATAGTGTAAATTGGTAGGAAATCCATGAAGAACGATTTGGAAATATATGATAAATCTGTCTTCCATGGCAGATGGAAGGTAGAGCTGCAGAGGGAAACACACAATGTTCCCTCTCTCCAAGCTACAACAGATTCCCCAGAATCTATTCTACCTCACCAGAAGATTAGGTTTCTGGCATTGATAAGGCAACAGGATTTGTCCATTTCCCTACTAATCTCTGTCCTGGATTTGTGTGGGGTACACAGAGTGGGCAAGTGCTGAAACTGAAAATAGATGTAGATTTAACTGAGTTATTCTGGGTGATCTAAGTCAAATATGGTTTCACATGGCTCCTTGTATCTTCCCATCTCTGCCTTCTCAGGACTCTTCCCTTTTCCAAAAGAAGAGCTCATAAGAGAAGTTTCATCTCTTGCAAATATCAAAGCCATGCCTCAGGTGAGATGATGTTTCCTCTCTTTCTGAAGTAACTTGTTTTTAGGTTATATGAACATTTGCTTCCCTATCCTTAAATTTTCTGGATATTGGGATTTGCTCCCATCAAACTGGTCTCCAGTAGGGCAAGCAAGTGGCCTAGGTACAAAATTTAAGAAGGACCCTCAGGGCTGTCCAGCTCTAACTTTTGTACCCTTCGTGTCTTACCTGCCTCACCCTAGTTGCAGTCCTGTTCCCAGTTTCTCTCATTCCAACCGGATAAACTTAAGTCTTCCCCAAATGCACCTTCTAGTTGTAGCCAATGTTTGCATATTGATTGGGTGTATCATTCATCATCTCCTTTCTCAGTCCTCTCATAAAAGTACTGCTGGAACAGAAATGTATTATCTTCATTTAAATGGGAATATATTACTTGAATGAATCTATCTTGTCTAGACACTGATTTGAGATCTAAATTTGTGAGGAGTCAGGGAGCAGACATGCAAAAACCTTGATCATCTCCACTGACCTAGGTTTAGTGGGGGGTAGAATTGGTAGATCACATTATTATTTTGGATTAGATTTCCTGTTTTGTGAGGTTTTTAGGATAGAGATTTGCTTGCAAGCTTGTACAGAAAACTGAAATTTTACATTGCTCTCTGATATATTTTATCCACATCTGCCAGCAATTCCTATAAACTGTGGCCCACCAGTGAAAACCTTTCCAGTGTTTCAGTGCTATTATAGATTTATTCTTATATTTTTGGTTTCTTCTAATCTTTATACGTGCATGCAAGAGAAGGAGACGCATTTGCTAATCCACTTTTGAGATTCTATTCTTGAATCAAAGGTGGTACTTTCTCCTGTTTCCATATCTTTCTTTCAGAAAATTCCTCTTCATCTACAAATCTTTGAAATACCAATCTGGGTTTTCCCCAGATGGTAATTGGTTCCCTTCTCCTCTCTGTCTCTTTTTCTGTATGCACAGTCATATTCACTCCAGAGGTTATACTGATCTGATTCTAGTGACTCTCAGATACCTCTCTCCATCCTAGACCTCTAACCAGAGTGTCAGAACCATATATACAACCTCCAACAGCTATCACTACCTGTATGTTTCATAGACATTTCAAGAACATGTCCAAGGTTTACCTCATTACCTCCTTTGGTCCAGCTTATTATTTCTCCTGCTTCCCATTTCCATTTTCTAGTCTCAGCACCCACCCACTTGCTGTGCAGATGACCTAAGAGCTGTGCTTCTCTTTTTTCCACTCTACAACCAATTTATGACCAGTTCTGTTGAAACTCATCATGAAGCAACAAATTGTCTCCTGTCCAGACCACTAATACCATTTTAATCTTGGACACATCTCTAACAGTGGTTACTTAATTGTCTTTCCCACCTAACACACCTCAAGCCTTCTCTAGTGTTCGAGAGTATTGCCTCTAAAGTACAAATTTTTTCACATAACATATGTGATGACTTAACATTTCTTCATGTTTTTTTATACTCCATAAAGCAGCAGACCCAAAGTGGGGTATGCATTACAGTGGAATGTACAAGACAGTATACTGAAAAGGAGGAAAATACTAATAGTTTATATTCCAGAACAGTAATCGTTAACAATGTGGATTGCTATTAATGCCAACTGATGATTTATAAATAAATACAAATATGTTGGGAGTGTGCTCAGTACATTTTTAAGACCATTGCTCTGTCTTAAAACAGAGTGTTAAGACATCCAGTATTATTACATAAATATGCCTACTGCCTACCTCCATATACCTTTTTCTTCTTACAGCTCAAAGACTCTTTCCTAACATACTGTACCTTTGCTATTTCCTGAATTTACTGACTGGTTTTACTCTCCCCATGAGTCTCAAAAGCCATTGACATGTAGTTCTACAAAAAATATTCATTGTGAGTACAAAATTTTTATGTCCTCAATGAAGTCTTAGAATACAAAATGAAATTTTCTTTACTTTGTAGTATGTTTCCTTGTACATATTTCTGTCATTGCATCTGCAATATCTATTTTTTTTTTAATTTTAATTTTTTTTTTTAAACATCTTTATTGGGGTATAATTGCTTTACAATGGTGTGTTAGTTGCAATATCTATTGAGTGTATGTATTTACACATATGCCCTTCTTTTAGCCTGTAACTTCTTATGAGCAAGGTCAGGGTTTTATTTGTTTTTGTGCACCAAGCAACCAATCACATTCAAGGCAAAGAGTATGATCTCATGTATTTTTAGCATGAGATAATAAGTAAATACTGATGAATGTATTTTCAGAGAGAATTTTCTACAGTATAAAACACAAAGTAAGAAAACCAGTTTGACCACTGAACATGGTCTCCAATGTCTAGTTCTCACTAGTTTCAATTACTTTAGGATGAACTAGACTATGCCCTTACAGGGATCAGTGTCATTCAAGGATGTGACTGTGGACTTCACCCAGGAGGAGTGGCAGCAACTGGATCCTGCTCAGAAGGCCCTCTACAGGGATGTCATGTTGGAAAACTATTTTCACCTCATCTCTGTAGGTAAGGAAAACTCCTTGAAACTTTCAGTGTCATGCATCTCCTTTCAAGAATTTCTGAAACATATGGAACATTGACTTTCAAAGATCAGAGGTGATGAATCCCTTTCTGTTAGTAGAAAGCGTGATTGTGTCCGCACTTGGCCTAGTGCAAGGTATTAACTTTGGTAGGACATTAATGTGTACCTTGTCTGCCATCTTGAAGCTGTATCTTTATCTTCCTTCAATAGTTTTGAAGCCCAACAGCTTAGACCAAGTCTCATTTTTTATTATCAGGATTTCACATGACTAAGCCTGATATGATCCACAAGTTGGAACAAGGAAAAGAACTATGGACAACAGAGAAAATTTTTCCAAGTCAGAGTTACCTCGGTGAGTCTGTATAGATAAAGTCCAGTGGGCTCAGGTAGTTGATGTCTGAATATTTTCAGAGATCTATTTTTTAAATTTTGGTAAAATAAACATAAAATTTATCATCTTAACCATTTTTAAGCATATAGTTCCATGGCATTAAGTACTTTTACATAGTTGTGCCACTATCACCACCATCCATCTCCAGAACCCTTCATCTGTCAGAAGTAAAACTCTGTACCCATTAAACAATAACTCCTCATTACCACCCCCAACTATCCCCTGGCAACCAGTATTCTACTTTCTGTCTCTATGAATATGACTACTGGTAGGTATCTCATATAAGTGGAATCATATGGTATTTGTCCTTTTTGTGACTGGTTTATTTCACTTAACATAATGTCTTCAAGTTTTACCCATGTTGTAGTATGTATCAAAATTTTCTTCCTTTTGAAGGCTGAATAATATTCCATTATATGTCCATGCCACATTTTGCTTATCCATTCATCTTTCAGTGGACACTTTGGTTGCTTCCACCTTTTGGCTACTGTGAATAATGCTACTATGAATATGGGTGTACAAATATATATCTGAGTCATTGCTTTCTTTTGGGTATATACCCAAAAGTAGAATTGCTGGATCATATAGTAATTCTATGTTTAATGTTTTGAGGAACTGCTATACTGTTTTCCATAGTGGCTACACCATTTTACATTCTCACCAACAATGCACAAGGGTTCCAGTTTCTCCACATCCTTACCAACAACTGTTATTTTCTTTTTTTCTTCTTTTTTTTCAGATAGTAGCTGTCTTATTAGGGATCTGTTTTTAAAGGCCTGAGATCTTTGAAGTGTCTATACATGACTGACTTAAATACCTCTAAAATCTAAATTTTATTTTGAATATCACTCCCCACATAAATCCTTTCCTTGTGTGTCTTATGCTTATAGAACTATTGGCTGCTATTACTTTACCAAGAATCCACTCCATGCTTTGTAGGTATAACGTCCAGAGAGATCTTAAGTGTAAAGTTCTTTGAGTTCTGACAGAAGTATAAACCCACGTATCTCACACTCTAGTCAAGATAAAGGACACTTCCATTAACCCATTAAGTTCCATCAGGCCTCTTCCAAGTCAATCCCTCCCTAAGACGATCACCACTGTGATTTCTACCAACATAGATTAGTTTTGTCTATTCTGGACCTTTTTCATGTCTACTGTCTTTCACTCAGCTTAATGTCTGAGAGATTTATACATGTTTTTGCATATATAAATAGTTTATTTTAATTAAACAGAATAGTATTCAATTGAATGGAGATACCAGTTTATTATGCATCTCCTATTGATAGACATTTGAAATGTTTCAGTTTGGGGCTATTATTATTAGTAGTATTATTATTACTATTATTATTATTTTGGCCACACTGCATGGCATGTGGGGTTTTAGTTCCCTGACCAGGGATCAAACCCAAGCCCCCTGCCGTGGAAGCGCAGAGTCTTAACCACTGGACCGCCGGGGAAGTCCCTGGGGCTATTATGAATAAAGCTGTGGTGAACATTCTTGTAAAGATCTTTTTGTGGACACACGTTTTTATTTCTCCTCAGTAAATACCTATCAGATGGTGTTGCTCATTCATAAGTCAGGTTTATAGTTCACATTTTAGAAGCTGCCAGTTTTTAAAAGTTACCATAGCATTTTAAACTTTTACAAGCAATGTTTGAGAATTTTGATTGCCTCCCACATTCTCTTCCACATTTGATGTTATCAATATTTTCATTTTGGTCATTGTGAAGTACTATTCTGAAGAATGGTAGCATATCTTAGCAGTTTCAATTTAGATTTCTTTTATGACTAATGATGTTGAGAACTTTTTCATGTGCTTTTTATATCTTCTTCAGAGGTATCTGTTCAAATGTTTGACCCATTTTTTATTGGGTAATATTTTTTTTCCTTGAATAGTAGGAATTCTTTACATTTTCTGAATAGAAGTCTTTTGTTTGATATAGGTATTGCATATATTTCCTCTAGTCTGTGGCTTGCCTACTCGTTTTAATGGTGTCTTTAAATAAGCACAAGTTTTTAAAGTCCAGTTTATCATTTTTATCTTTTATCATTATTTCTTTGACCTCTCAAACAAATATTTGCCTTAGGTTGTAAAGATAGTTTCCTGTATTTTTTTCTAAAAATGTTATGTACATTTTGCTTTTTTAAAATTAGTTCTATGATCCATCTCATGTTAAGTTTATTTATGGTATGAGGTAAGTGTTAAGAGTCTGTTTTCTTCCATATAGATATCAATTTGTCCCATCACTTGTTGAATTGAATTAAATTGCTCTGATGATCTTATCAAAAATTGTTTGATTGCTTCCCTGGTGGCGCAGTTGTTGAGAGTCCGCCTGCCGATGCAGGGGACACGGGTTCGTACCCTGGTCTGGGAAGATCCCACATGCCGCGGAGCGGCTGGGCCCGTGAGCCATGGCCGCTGAGCCTGCGCGTCCAGAGCCTGTGCTCCGCAACGGGAGAGGCCACAACAGTGAAAGGCCCACGTACCGCAAAAAGAAAGAAAATTGTTTGATTGTATTTGTGTCAGTCTATTTCTAGAGTATTCTTTCCTTTGATATAATTTAAGTCCTATTACTAATACCACCTGGTCTTTGATTATTGTAGCTTTATAATAAGTCTTGATGCCAGAGTAAGTCCTCTTAACTTTCTTCTTTTTAAAAAATTGTTTTGGCTATTCCAGGTCATTTTCATTTTCTTTTTCAAATACATTTTAGAATCAACTTCTTGATTTCTTTATTTTATTTTATTTTTTAACATCTTTTATTGGAGTATAATTGCTTTACAATGGTGTGTTAGTTTCTGCTTTATAACAAAGTGAATCAGTTATACATGTATATATGTCCCCATATCTCTTCCCTCTTGTGTCTCCCTCCCTTCCACCCTCCATATCGCACCGCTCTAGGTGGTTACAAAGCACCGAGCTGATCTCCCTGTACTATGTGGTTGCTTCCCACTAGCTAACTATTTTACGTTTGGTAATGTATGTATGTCCATGCCACTCTCTCACTTCGTCCCAGCTTACCCTTCCCCCTCCCTGTATCCTCAAGTCCATTCTCTAGTAGGTCTGTGTCTTTATGCCCATCTTGCCCCTAGGTTCTTCATGACCTTTTTTTTTTTTTTTTAGATTCCATATATATGTGTTAACATACGGTATTTGTTTTTCTCTTTCTGACTTACTTCACTCTGTATGACAGACTCTAGGTCCATCCACCTCACTACAAATAACAATTTCATTTCTTTTAATGGCTGAGTAATGTTCCATTGTATATATGTGCCACATTTTCTTTATCCATTCATCTGTCGATGGACACTTAGGTTGCTTCCATGTCCTGGCTATTGTAAATACAGCTGCAATGAACATTTTGGTACATGACTCTTTTTTTTTTTAATTCATTTATTTTTGGCTGCATTGGGTCTACGTTGCTGCAGGCGGGCTTTCTCTAGTTGTGGTGCAGGGGGGCTACTCTTCATTGCGATGTGTGGGCTTCCCATTGCAGTGGCTTCTCTTCTTGTGGAGCACAGGCTCTAGGCATACGGGCTTCAGTAGTTGTGGCATGCAGGCTCAGTAGTTGTGGTTTGCAGGCTCTAGAGCACAGACTCAGTAGCTGTGGTGCACGGGCTTAATTGCTCCGTGGCATGTGAGATATTGCTGGACTAGGGATCGAACCCACGTCCCCTGCATTGTCAGGCGGATTCTCAACCACTGCGCCACCAGGGAAGTGCCCATGACTCTTTTTGAATTATGGTTTTCTCAGGGTATATGCCCAGTAGTGGGATTGCTGGGTCGTATGGTAGTTCTATTTTTAGTTTTTTAAGGAACCTCCATACTGTTCTCCATAGTGGCTGTATCAATTTACATTCCCACCAACAGTGCAAGAGGGTTCCTTTTTCTCCACACCCTCTCCAGCATTTATTGTTTGTAGATTTTTTGATGATGGCCATTCTGACCAGTGTGAGATGATATCTCAATGTAGTTTTGATTTGCATTTCTCTAATGATTAATGATGTTGAGCATTCTTTCATGTGTTTGTTGGCAGTCTGTATATCTTCTTTGGAGAAATGTCTATTTAGGTCTTCTGCCCATTTTTGGATTGGGTTGTTTGTTTTTTTTGACATTGAGCTGCATGAGCTGCTTATAAATTTTGGAGATTAATCCTTTGTCAGTTGCTTCATTTGCAAATATTTTCTCCCATCCTGAGGGTTGTCTTTTCATCTTATTTATGGTTTCCTTTGCTGTGCAAAAGCTTGTAAGTTTCATTAGGTCCCATTTGTTTATTTTTGTTTTTATTTCCATTTCTCTAGGAGGTGTGTCAAAAAGGATCTTGCTGTGATTCATGTCATAGAGTGTTCTGCCTATGTTTTCCTCTAAGAGTTTGATAGTGTCTGGCCTTACATTTAGGTCTTTAATCCATTTTGAGTTTATTTTTGTGTATGGTGTTAGGGAGTGTTCCAATTTCATTCTTTTACATGTAGCTGTCCAGTTTTCCCAGCACCACTTATTGAAGAGGCTGTCTTTTCTCCACTGTATATTCTTGCCTCCTTTATCAAAGATAAGGTGACCATATGTGTGTGGGTTTATCTTTGGGCTTTCTATCCTGTTCCATTGATCTATATTTCTGTTTTTGTGCCAGTACCATCTTGGTTTCTCTAAATAAATATGCTGGGATTTTTATTGGTGAGAAATAACATCTCAGTAATATTGAGTCTTTCGGTCCATGACTATACTATATCTTAACATTTTAGTTAGCTTCTCTAATTCCCATAAGCAGTGTTTTATTATTTTTAGTATAGAGGTCTTATACATATTTTATTAAGTTTATCTCTAAGCTTTTAATATTTTTCCTGCTATTGTAAATAATGAGATTTTTAAAATTTCTTTTTCCAGCTTGTTCTTAATATGTGTAGCCACAATCGACTTTTAGATATTGACTTTGCATATTTCTTTTGATGGTATTAA